ACTCCCGAGTCGTCCTCTTTGCTTTAGCTGCTCTTGCCTTCTGGCAGCTCTTCTCATGCGTGCACTAGGAACAGGCTTCTCCTGTTCCTCTGCCTCTCTGCTGTCAGTCTCTGGAGGCTCCGGAGTCCGCACATCACTCCTGGCCCCATCTCTGCCTCCAACACAGAGCCCTCCCCAGCCTCCAGGACTGGCCCATGTTCTTCCTCAGCCTCCTCACTGTCCGACTCCGCTACCAGCTCCGCAGGCTGCTGGCAAACTACAACAGGTACATTCCCTGTCACCATACAATGTCTGCAGCTATTCTCTCTTGGTCTTCCCATATTAGTAGTGGCAAAAGAATTGAAGGAAATTTACATCAGGCCTTTGCAACCATTTTACAGGAAACAAAAGTTTTTTTTAAAAAAAACCAGGCACTGAAATGCGAAAAGGGGGGTGGGGAAACCTCCCTTCCTGCTGGATCCCTTTCATAGACTTTCGGCTTCCCCAAATCCTGTGTCCATTTTAATGGAAGGAAATCCGTAATAAATTCATAAGTAGAAATGCACGCGGTTGTGTTTTGGGTTCCCCTTTCATAGCAAAGCTGTCCAGCCATAAGATACAGAGAATTTAAGCTGTTTAACATTGTCTTTATCTCGATGCAATATTTATAAGGAAGAGTTCATGTACACTGGGGCATGGCTGGTTGAACAAAGTGCTTGTGTTTGAAACACACTCACGGGTAGAAATGCCAAGCGTTGGAAAAACGTTTAGGGATCCAGCAATAATGTAAGTGGGAGGGAAGGAAGGAAAGTTGGTATTCACTGCAATCTTTTGAGTTGAGTCTGCATGTTTTCAGAGGATATTTATTTTGTGTTTTAAGGGTTGCATTCTGTTTCTCCTCCTATTCTCTGAATTTCTTTCCTGCACTTAACTGGCTGAGAAGATGAGGTGGGGTGAGGGAGAGGAAAAGAATGAACGGTAAAGAGAGAGGCAGAACGAAATAAATGCATCCTTCTTTGCTGTGGACTTTTTATTGCTTAACTATTTGAAGCTTCTGGTGTTAAAGCTGTAAATAACTAAAACGGCAAAGTGAAAGAACACCATTACATTGTTCGACAATGCAGTTGACTCTGCCTACACTCTTGTATGCGCATATCCTGAAAATAAAACTCTTTGAACTCAGTGGGGTTGTTCTAAGCAAATAGATGTAGAAGTACTCTTTTAGTGTGAGCATTAGGACAGTTAAAGAACGTTTGATGATTAGCCAGGAGTGACAGCAGTTTTGCAGGGTGCTTTTATACTAGAAGTATTTTATGCTGTCTGTCTGTCTATCTGATTTCTATAGCTGCCCATTTTAGCAAACAGCAACAATTTCCCATCAGTTGCCCTAGGTGAAAATGCATCCAGCTGCATCACGGGAGTATGTAAATATTTGGTGCTGGGGACATAAGTAGAAGGGTGAGGGTAGATAGTTAGTGGAGCCATTCGCAATGCTTCAGAAAATCTGCAAATTCATAAAATGGGTGCCAGGGTGGATGTAACCAATCAGAAAGCATTTGTTAGTCTGGTGGACTAATCTTTTCCTTGTCTCAAGATGTTCTGCTACCATCCATTGAGGTCCTCAGGGACATTCCTCCAATAAAATGTGATGCTAGAACCTAATTAAGGGGACGCGGTGACTCAGTGGCTAAGACACTGAGGTTGTCGATTGAAAGGTCGGCACTTCAGCAGTTCGAATCCCTAGGGCCGCGTAATGGGGTGAGCTCCCATTACTTGTCCCAGCTTCTGCCAACCTAGCAATTCGAAAGCATGTAAAAAATGCAAAGTAGAAAAATAGGGACCACCTTTGGTGGGAAGGTAACAGCATTCCGTGCGCCTTCGGCATTTAGTCATGCCGGCCACATGACCACGGAGACGTCTTCGGACAGTGCTGGCTCTTCAGCTTTGAAACGGAGATGAGCACCACCCCCTAGAGTCGGGAACGACTAGCACATATGTGCAAGGAGAACTTTTACCTTTACCTTACCTAGAACCTAATGGCTTGTTTTGCAGCAGTCCAATTCCTCCCTCCCTCCCTCCCATCCATCCATTTTGACACATTCAAACTTCCACCCTCTGAAATAATTTGGGTTTCTGTCTTAAACCATATGTGGTTGGGTTTGACAATACAATAAAGTGATCAGAGATTCAGTTGGTAAATACATATTTATTCTGTCCCATTTTGAAAAACTATATTTTGAATGTACTGGGAGAAGCTATGCTTATATCAACTCATTGTCCCAACCCAAAATAAATGTTCTGGAGGCAAGTCGTTCCACTGATCAATTGTTCCAACGGTTAGGAATTTTTTTCCCTTAGTTTTAGGTTGCTTCTCTCCTTGATTAGTTTCCATCCATTCCTTCTTGCCCGGTCTTAGGTGCTTTGGAGAATAGGTTGACCCCCCCTTCTTTGTGGCAGCCTCTTAATGCCCCAAGCTTCTGAGTTTTGGTAACTCACCAATGTCATCATTCTTCCTTCTGATCTTCCTCATCACTATCCATTTTAAATTAATTGAATTGTGAATGCTATTTTGGGTTTGCTGTAGAATCCTAGGATCTATGGCTGCCGCCTTCTCAACCCATAGACTTCAGTTTCACTGAAAATCCAAACTATTTAGAGAAAACAGCAAAGATCCCTCCGTCTCCTAGAGCAGTGGTCTCCAACCTTGGCAACTTTAAGCCTGGAGGACTTCAACTCCCAGTTGAAGTCCTCCAGGCTTAAAGTTGCCAAAGTTGGAGACCCCTGTCCTAGAGTTTGAAATCACCCATCGGTGAAAAATGAGAATAGGTCTGTGAGAGTGAAAAGAAAAAGCATATAAAATTTCTAGAAATCCTCAGAAGAAGGACCCCTACCTGCCTAAATAGGAAGGAATTTATGGTAGCTCTGTGACAGCCATTCTTTAATGGCACTGCATTAACTTTAATGGCTTTGCAATCTTTCATAGTTAACATGAAGACAAGAAGAGGCTAGGGCAAAAAATGGAATGCTATAAAACAGATTCAGAGGGGGAAAAAATGTGTCAGTGGCTGGATGAGATCTATATTCAATCATGGTCATATTTCTTGACTGGTGCTTATAATAAACAAGGGTTGGATTGTCTTGGTCAGGAGTCGGCAACTTTTAACACTCAAAGAGCCACAAAGGCCCTCACTGGATGCCTCCCGTTCAATTCTGGAGCCAACCAAAAGTCCGGTTCCTTCATCATAGTCTCCTCCTACCAGTGGTAGGTTCCTCCCGGTTCTGTCCGGTTCGGCTGAGCCGGTAGCGGTGACCATATGATGTCACTGAATCGGTTCTCCCCCCCCCGCCCTCCCCCCCCCGCGTTATTCTTACCTTTTATTTGGTCCCACCCCCAATCTATTGCTGCCTCCTGAGTCCCAGCTGATGGCTAGAGGGAAAAAAACTGTTTAAACTCTTGCCTCGGGGCTTCAAAGGGCCGTCCTACAGCTGATCAGTGTTAAAAGCAAACAAATGAGTCGTGTCGTAAGTGCGAGGACTGGTCGTAAGTGTGAGAACCTTCCAGAAATGACTCTGACCAGCTAGCCACGCCCACCTAGTTACATGACCTCCAAGCCACACCCACAAAATAAGCCACGCCCACAGAACCGGTAGTAAAAAAATTTAGGACCCACCCCTGCCTCCTACCTATCCTAATTGAAAGCCCTATCAATTGTGGAGCTGACTGGCAACGGAGCCGCAGCAGAGGGATGAAAGAGCCACATGCGGCTCCAGAGCCGCAGGTTGCTGACCCCTGGTCTTGGTTATGCTCTGATCTTCCTTCAAGGAAGTCTATCTTTTTCCACTGATTCAGCAAGGCAGTTCTAGCCAAGTTCTCATGTCCTTTAGAAACAGCACCATCTACTGTTGACGTCTATGTTTACGTGCAATCAAATATAGTAATATACAGTTTCTTGGCTGTGTAGGAACCTGGAGTTCCTGTGAATTGGTTTCTGAATGAGAAGAGGATCACACTTTGCATCCATCTCATAAACAAGGAGCAACTAAATAATTAGATACGTTGCAGCTCTAATTGGTCTCATTTTCTATTTCTGTTTTACGTTCCTGATACTTGACAACTTTAGAATTCTTAGCGTTTGTCATCAATTTTTGACGTGGGTTACAAAGATGGGTAGAGTTAGACTTACCTTTCAAATGTGCTGGGCTTCAATTCTTATAGTCCCCAGCTCGCAAGACCAAGCTAAATGATCATTATGGCAAATAAAATCCAGCCATCTGAGAGGCATTAGTTTGAGGAAGTCTGACTATTGAAATCAGCTGACTCCCTTGCTCTATTAATACTAAAGTGCTGGATAAAATTTTATTTGTAAGCTATTTCATTATTTTTTTTAAAATATATATATATTTCTTTTACTATCCACACTCATTGCAACACACTCAAATAATTTGGAGGGATGATTTTCAAAAATATAATCTCATCCCAAATCTGGTTTTTTCCTCCCTTCCACCATTCAGTCGTGTCCGATTCTCTTAAGAATGCCTGAATAAACTCCTGTAGTTTTCCTGGCAAGGTTTTTCAGAAGTGGTTTGCCATTGCCTCCTTCCTAGGGTTGAGAGAAAGTGACTGGCCCAAAGTCACCCATCTGGCTTTGGGCCTAAGGAAGGCATGAGTAAAACTCACAGTCACTCAGTTTCTAGCCTGATCTTTAACCACTACACCAAATTGGCTCTCATAAGTTTCATATTTTATTTCCAATTCCATATACATCAAAATGTACTTCGTTTTAGGCTGATTCTGTGTTATCCAGTTATCAGTGTCAGCAGGATCCAAGAATTTGTGTAATAATGTTATGGATTTCTGTAGCCCCCTCCCCTTCCCATAAGGTTTGGTCAGGTTCTTGAGCCCCAATGCTTCATACCCTCAGTCTGATCTGTGTTTTACATGCTTATTTTCTTTGCCAGAATGAACGTGTGATGCAGGTTTTGATATGTTAAGGCCATTTCTATTTTTTGTTCTTTTTCAGGTGCTACTAGAGAAATTGGCTCTGCTTTAACCAGAATGTGCATGCGACATCGAAGTATTGAGTCCAAGCTCAGACAGTTTTCAAGGTGAGTTATGCATGTTGCCAGCTGACGGTCTGGAAATAGAGTTTCATTAGATTCTGGATGGTGTTCAGAATTTAATTGGTACTCAGTCTTTTTCATTCAGGACCATATTAAGCTGTTTACTGGGGCCGATTTCCATCTAACCTCCGAAGTTTTTTTTGGCTGGGAACACCCTTTCATTTTTCTCTCACTGTACAAATTGGGCTTTGCAGAGGAGAAAATTGAACAGTCCATCGTGAGAAGTCAGACTTGCTGGCTCTGTATTTTCAAAGTAGGAATTCCTGTTTCAGACATTACTGTAACTCAGCAGTGGGTGAAGAATGGCAAAACGCGTGATTTCCATTTTTGAGAACATTGATTAGTGTTGCAAAAAAACAGTTTTCCCCTCTGCGGGCCTATTTCTGGCAACTCTTGAATGAATTGAGGAGTTGTTCTTGCGTAATGATTAAGAGATTGAGACAGAAATTAGGGAAGTATTGCTGCAAATCCAAATTGTGCTTCGTAGTCACAAAAGCAAGGATGCACAGATTGAGCCTCCCTAGAGAGTTTTGGATTTGGCTTGTAGCCTTCTTGCAGTGATGCCACAAAACTGTCATTTTTCTTAACGTAGCAGATGGGAAAATTATCAGATAATGGCAAATCATCAAATTAACTGTAAGTAATTGAACTTAGATTACATGCCTATGTACAGTAATTAAATCAGATTTAGCATGTGATTTGTCCCAGTAATTTCTTTGTCCTGAGCATTCCTGTTTGCAAACCCATCACTGAAAGGTTAAGTGTGGTCCTTTCTCGCCACTCTTGCATTGAGTGGCCTTGGGCTAAACCAATACTTCTTAACTGTGGCAACTTTAAGACGTCTGGACTTCAACTCCCAGGATTCCCCCAGCCTCTCAATCTCAAACAGCCTGTCATTTACTCTATAGGCAGCCTTGAGGCAATATGTGAATCCTTTCTTACAGGATTGCTAAACCTGATTTATGTGCTTGTGATTGAATTGGACTTAAGATTCTTTCTAAGTTCTGGACTTTGGTTCATGTGTGGGAAAAGTGTGCCTTTAAAAGGCTTAGAGGGAGATTCAGATTGGTTCTTTTCCTGCAGGATTTGATTCCTCTTTGTGTTTTCTCAACAAAATTAGTGCTTTAATTGACTGTCTGATAAACCCACTTCAAGAGCAGATGGAAGAATGGAAGAAAGTGGCCAACCAGCTGGACAAAGACCATGCGAAAGGTAGTTACATGGAAGTGGGACTGCGGGGGAGGGGGGCCAAGAAACTATAGAATAATATGGGTAGAGACAAGAACAGAAGGAAAATTGATGTCAGCCAACAAAACAGACCAGATTAAGAAACCAACAGCATAGGCTATCTGAGAAACCAGCTCATCCGATGAGATTAACCCAGGGGTGAAATCCAGCAGGTTCTGACAGGTTCTGGAGAACTGGTAGCAGAAATTTTGAGTAGTTCGGAGAACCGGCAAATACCACCTCTGGCTGGCCCCAGAGTGGGGTGGGAATGGAGATTTTGCAGTATCCTTCCCCTGCCACGCCCACCAAGCCACACGATGCCCATTAAGCCACGCCCACAGAACCGGTAGTAAAAAAAAATGGATTTCACCACTGGATTAACCCACCCACTCATACCAACAGAAGGGACATGCTGCAGTAACCATCAGCCAAGGAATTTTGGCTGACAGACTCCAGAAGAAGAGCTTTTACTGCCATGGCTCCCTCTGAAACATCCTGCCCCTTGAGGTCAGATCTGCTCCAGTGATGGGATTCAACCAGTGTAACAACCGGTTCGCTGAGCGTGAGCGCACACAGGCCATTAGAAAACACCATTAAAAGCAGTGTTAAAAGCACTAAAAACAGCTGAGGCGTGGCAATCTGCTTTGCTGCACCTATCAGCTGGGCTTCAAACGAACGAAATAAAGGTAGGTATAGGGCGGATGGGCCCAGCTGACAGTCGGAGCAAACCGGTTCTCTCTCAGCTGATCATTGGAGCAACCGGCTGAATCCCACCCCTGATCTGCTCCCATCTTTCTGGCTAGAGTCTCCTTTGTCGAGATGGGCAACATTCAAGATAGGTAGGTAGGTAGCTAGATAACTAGATAGCCAGACAGACAAAAGTAGTCCTTGACTTGTGATCATAATTGAGCCCAAAATGTATGCTGCTGAGAAGCGAGATAATTGTTAAGTGACTTTTACCTCACTTTATGACTTTTTTTTGCCGCAGTTGTTCAGTGAATCACTGCAGTTGTAAAATTAGTACCATGGTCGTTAAGCGAATCTGGCTTGCTCTTGTCAGAAGGTCTCAAAAAGTCATCTCGTGATCCTGGGGCACTGCAACTCCCATAAATATGAACCAGTTGCCAAGCATCCAAATTTTGATCACGGGACGACATGAGTGCTGCAGCAGTCGTAAGTGTGAAAAGAGAGTCACAAGTCACTTTTTTTCAGCACCGCTGCAACTTTGAACAGTCACTAAACGAATGGTTGTAAGTCGAGGACCTCCTGTAGATAGATGTCAGAACAACTTATAACTGCTACGGCAACAGAAATTTGCAAGTCTGAATGTCCTTCTCTCCTCCCTCCCAATTCTCCATTGTGGTGGAGATAGCATCCAGGAATGGGTTGACCTTTTCTGCGAGCCAATTAGACTGAGTCTGTCAAAGCTGAAGACACGCCTCCTCCACCAATGGTCCCCAGCTTTTGACTCAGTCAAAGACAGATGTGTTTTTTTTCTGGTCACAATTCTTTGAGAACGAGGGAGGGGCTTGTCTAATACATTTTCTCAAGTTATTTTCTTGGCTTGGGCTCAAGCCTCGCATATCTACCCCTTGCTTTGGGAACAGCTTTTCTTCCTGTGTCCTTCAAGGCCATTCGCTGTTTCCCTGACAGGTTGTTAAAAATCTGCCTGCTGATGGGTTCCTTCCTTTCAGACAATGGCTCTCAGAATATTAACAGTAACATTCCCCAAACAATTATTGCTGATGCAAGACTTCAGTTGTCTCGGGATACGAAACAATAGTCTTCATATACAAGAAGACACATTCCTGCAGGATGTTAAGAAAAATTTCCTAACAACGGAAACTGTTCAACAATCCAGCCAGCTGCCTGATGCTGGGCAGGAGAGCTTGAATTCCTGATATTTGTCCCCAAATCTTTTTTTTTTTTCTTTGTAGCAGAAAATCAAAGGGTACATTTGGGTGGCATTTGAGATGGGAAGCACGTAAAAATTTTACATTGTAGACCCTAAAATATATCCTGTAATCCTTTTAATTTAAATTTAATTAAAAAACCTTCGAGACCGTCTTCTGCCACCAATAGCCTCCCACTGGCCAGTCCGCTCCCACAGAGAGGGTCTCCTCAGGGTGCCATCGGCCAAGTTATGTCAGCTGGCGACACCCAGGGGGAGGGCCTTCTCTGTGGGAGCCCCAGCCCTGTGGAATGAACTGCCCCCGGAAATACGTAAGATCTCCGACTTCCAGGTGTTTCGCTGCGCACTGAAGACCCTGTTGTTCCGCCAGGCCGGGCTATCAACATAATAATTTTAAATTGGGGTATTTTAAATTTCTGGGGTTTTAAATTGAGCCAAATCTATTTAATCATTTTAAATTTTTAATCGTTGTTTTGTCTTGTGTTTTTAAATAGGCTGTACACCGCCCTGAGTCCTTCGGGAGAAGGGCAGTATAGAAATATAATAATAATAATAATAATAATAATAATAATAATAATAATAATAATAATAATAATAATAATTATTATTATTATTATTATTATTTACCAACCTTTCAGAATTTCCCTAAAAATACATCCCATTCGCATAACTCACCCACATTGTGGCCTTTAGCCTCACAATAGTTAGTCCACCGTCTCTCTCTTTAGCCTAGATATGGTAGCCTAAAACTGATTGTAAGCCGCCCAAGGTTACGTTTGAGGCAAAATGGGCAGCCTATAAATTTAATAAATAAATAGAGGGTGGACGGACGGACGGACAGATAGATAGATAGACAGATAGATGATAGAAATAAGACACAAAGGGTCAGTCACCAGAAGATACCCATTTCTGAGGGAAATGGCAAGTTTTCCATTGCTGGATGTTTTCATTTAAAAATTGGATGATACTGAAGGTGCTTTAACCTGGATTCCTGCATTGAGCAGCGAGTTACACTCCATGGTCTTACATTTTCAACAGCATAATAATGCACAGTAGCTTCTGTTGATAATGTGATGGCCTTTTTTTAAAAAAAAACAGATTTTGCTCTGATCCCACAGTTTACGATTTAGCCTCCCTTCCATATGTTGTGTTTATGCACATGCTACACACACACACACACACACACAGAGAGAGAGAGAGAGAGAGAGAGAGAGAGAGAGAGAGAGATTAAGCATCTGCTGATACAAATGAGGTCTCAAGTCCACATTGTGATAAATTTGTCAGTGTCGAAAGGTGGCAAAAAAAAAAAAAAGATATTGCTTGGTTTGTCCTATATTTTGGTTTCGGCTACGGGAGGATATGTATGTCATTCCAACTGCTGGTCAAAAAGAGTCCTGCTTGTTCCAGATCATAAATTGATTAGTCTAGTGACCTTATTCTTCTATGTAAAAAAAAGGATGCCATGGCAATTGCCAAGAATCCCTTCTGTGATTACTTACGACCCCTGTAACCTCCGTTGATTATGTTTTCCTATTCTTTCCTGACCTTCGTTTGTGCAAAATGTTAAATGCACCAGGCCATTAAAATGAAAAGTGCTTAAGCTTCAATCTCGTATAAGCTTACCTGGGCATAAGCCCTACTGAATTCAGCGTAGCTTTCGCTTACTCAGTGCTACTATTAAAATTCGTCTCCAACGTTGCTTGTCTAACTTGAGCTTCTAGCCCCATTGCCTATCAAATATGTTTATATACAATCTCTCACTCTCTCTTCGTAGAATACAAAAAAGCACGCCAGGAAATAAAAAAGAAATCTTCAGATACCCTGAAGCTTCAGAAGAAGGCAAAGAAAGGTACGGTTCTCTCGTTTTTTTTCCCTCTCTTGATAGAGACCTGATCAGACGGTTTCACTTTTATCCGCAAATGAAAAGTTGCAAACATAATCACCACATATTGCTGTTTAGCTGGCTTTCAGTTCCTCCTCTGTGGACAACCCTGAGTGACATCCTTTGCTGAACTTGCTAGACAGAACTACCGTATTTTTCGGAGTATAAGACGCACCTTTTTCCCTCAAAAAAGAGGGTGAAAATCTGGGTGTGTCTTATACTCCAAATGCAACACCGCCCAGCCTTCGCAAACGGAGATTTCAGAGGCTGAAAGAAGCCTCTGAAAGAAGCTTCAGAAAAAAAGCCTCAGAAACGAAGCTTCAGAAGAAAAGCCTCTGAAAGGCTTTTATCTAAAATAATATGACAAGCAACAAAAGAAGAATCAGTAAAGGTTCTAACCAAACTAGGTTAACAAATCTGGAGAATGACACAATAACCAACAGATCGGAAGAGGTTTATCTACATACCAATACCAAAGAAAGGAGATTGAACAGAGTACAGATAGTCCTTCAGAATAAAAGCTTCAGAAAAAAAGCCTCTGAAAGAAGCTTCAGAAAAAAAGCCTTTTTTTCTGAAGCTCTGTTTCAGAGGCTTTCAGAGGCAGAAAAAAAAAAGCAAGGCACAGAGCTCAAAACCAACGAACCTGTTGCTAAAATTCACCTCTGGAAACAGCTGATTGGGGGTATTCCGGGAGGCTGATCCACCTGCCAATCAGCTTTTTTCTTATTTTCCTCCCCAAAAACTAAGGTGCGTCTTATCCTCCAGTGCGTCTTATACTCCGAAAAATACGGTATTGCTTCTCAGTGGAATGCAAAATTGGACTGTGCTCATGTCCATTTTTATACTTATGCCTGTTATCTTGTACATGTTTGACAAACTAAATAAATAAATAAAATAAATCAATTCCAGAGCCCACAAGAGCCTTTTGGTACATTTGAGATTTAATGGAATTAGATTATAGATGTGCACTTCTTCTCAAAAATGAGAATAAAGAAACAAATAAAAATAAAGTTTTCTGCTCCAGAGACATTGAAGGTCTAGGACTGTTGGGAGGCGAAAAAATGAGCACATAAATATTCGTTCATACCAGTTTAATTTTCACCTGCAATTCTGTGTCCATAAGTGTGTTTCTTGAAATGTCAAAGGCATGTATTTTTTTAAAATTCAGAATGGAAATTATGTTTTCTTAATTAGAATAGGGATGCTACTAATCAGTTAGAAAATTATGGAGAAACGTCCCCCTTCTCCGAGTATGTCACCTTGGCTAGATAATCCTTGCCTTCTGTTTCAAGAAATTGGTGAGCCTGCGAAACATTGGGGGAAACCCAACCACAACATTTTACTCACAAGAAAAGGAAATAAGACTTGTATTCTTCAAGTAATAGATACATTTTAGTATTTAAATGCTCCCACTTGGAGCCCCAAAATGATTGGCTTGCGAGTTTTAACTGTGAAGTTACAGAATATTGAGAGTTGGAAGGGACGTTGGAGGTCTTGTAGTCCAACCGCCTCCTTAGTCAGAAGACCCTATACCCATGATGGCAAACCTTTTTGCCATTGCGTGCCAGGAGGGGGGTTGCATGCGCGTGTGCCCACACCCATAATTCTATGCACCCCACGCGATGGCTCAGTAGCATGGTATGCGATGGCCCAGTAGGCCCGTTTTTCTCTCTCACCTGGCTCCACAGCCTTCCTAGGAGTTTGGGGAGGGCGAAAACGGCCTTCCCCACCCCCCTGGAGGTCCTCCAGAGGCCAGAAATTGCCAACCTCCGGCTGAGCTACGCATGCCACAGGTTCGCCATCACGGCCCTATACCCATGATGGCGAATCTTTTCTGGATCGAGTTCCCAATGTGCGCGGGCCCCAGAAAGCCCCCAAATGCAATACCTGCGCATGCACCCCACACATGCGTGTGCAGTCCCCACACACATTCCCACCCCTGCACATGCCACACGCCCGCACATATGTGGCAGAGACCCGACAACCAGCTGACAGGCGGGAGGTGCATGCGCATTTGCGGTGGAGCTAAACTGGACTGACGGCTCGTGTGCCCACAGAGAGGGCGCTGCGTTCCACCTGTGGCACGTATGCCATAGGTTTGCCATCATGGCCCTCTACTATTCCTGTCCAACCTCTTCTTAAAAACCTCCAGTGATGGAGCACCCACAATTTCTGGAGGCAAGCTATTCTACTGATTAATTATTGTCACTGATAGGAAATCTCTCCTTGATTAGTTTCCATTCTGTTGCTTTCTGTCCTGCCCTCAAGTGCTTTGGAGAATAGGTCAATGCGCTCTTCCTTTAGTTTATTGGTGTAACTGCTGAGAATCTTCCTGTGAAGAGGGATCTAAATGTAATATCTAAACAAATAACAGCTCCTTTTTGCAAAATTATCAAATCTATTGAAAAGCACACTGATGGACAGCAGTAGGAAAATTATCGGAATGCAACAGTCATGCTGACTGCCACATAGTATGCTGGAAACCTATTTATATACTGGCAGTCCACCCCAGTCCACCCCAACGATGCCCTTGAAGTGATGTCCCAGTGCCTGGAGGCTGTGCGGATCTGGATGGGGAAGAACAGGCTCAGGCTCAACCCTTCCAAGACTGAGTGGCTGTGGCTCCCGGCATCCCGATATAGTCAGTTGACTCCATCACTGACTATTGGGGGCGAGTCGTTGGCCCCCACTGAAAGGGCTCGCAATCTGGGAGTCCTCCTGGATAGGCAGCTGTCTTTGGAGGAACATCTGACGGCTGTTACCAGGGGGACCTTTTATCAGGTTCGCCTGATTCGCCAGTTGCGGCCCTTTCTTGATCGGGATTCCTTGTGCACAGTCACTCACGCCCTCGTCACCTCTCGCCTTGACTACTGCAACACTCTCTACATGGGGCTCCCCTTGAAGAGCACCCGGAGGCTCCAGCTGGTCCAGAATGCAGCAGCACGGGTAGTGATGGGAGCAACATGGCGCTCCCATATAACACCGCTCCTGCGCGAGCTGCACTGGCTCCCGGTGGTCTTCCGGGTGTGCTTCAAGGTGTTGGTTATCACCTTTAAAGCGCTCCATGGCATAGGGCCTAGCTATCTCCGAGACCGCCTGCTGCTACCGACGACCTCCCATTGACCCGTGCGCTCCCACAGAGAGGGCCTCCTCAGGGTGCCATCAGCCAAAGAATGTAGGCTGGTGGCCCCCAGGGGGAGGGCCTTCTCTGTGAGGGCTCCCACCCTCTGGAATCAGTTGCCCCCGGAGATAAGAAGAATCCATGACCTCAATGCCTTCCGTCATTCCCTGAAAACCTATCTTTTTCAGCAAGCCGGGTTGGCTTAGAAGAAATTTTTAAATTCTTTTAATTAGTTTGTGATTCTTAACTTTCGGGCCAAAATTTATATATATTTTTAAATATTTTAATATTTGTATTCTATGTTTTTTATCTTGGCTGTACACCGCCCTGAGTCCTCAGGGAGAAGGGCGGTATATAAATTGGAAATTAACAATTATTAACAATTAACTTACAACAGTCCGTTTAGTGACCGTTCAAAGTTAAAACAGCCGTTTTTCACACTTGCACCCTTTGTAGCATCCCCATGATCATGTGATCAAAATTCAGATGCTTGGCGACTGGTTCATACTTATGACCGTTGCTGTAACCCAAGGTCACATGATTACTTTTTGCGACCTTTTGATAAGCAAAATTTTTGATCATGGAGATGTTGCAATGGTCGTGTTAAAAAAAAAAAAGGTCATAAGTTACTTTTTTCAGTGCCGTTGCAACTTTGAACAAATGAACTGTTGTAAGTCGAGGAGAACCTGACCCAGCCTTCTGACAGTGAGGCAGGACTTTTTGGAGCTGAATTATCTTGTAGATTTTCCAGATAAGCCTCCCTTAGGCTGAGGCCTAAGTAAGAGTTTAGGCCAAGCTTGGCCTTTGGTGACTGGATGAATATATCAACATTGCAATAGGATGGAATTATTTTGTCATTGCTGCCTTCTGGTCTACAGTACTAGAATTTCCTGCCGATCTTGCTTTTAAGGACTAATCTGCTAATCTGCTCTGCCCCTTTGTAGATTCACAAAAGGTCAGCTGCCTTTGCAACACAGGTTCCCTTTTCTTGGCCTAAATTTTAAAACCTCACATTAAAAAAGGGATCCTCCATTCATTAGATTTTGGTTTTAGATTAAATTTGGGATAATATACATTTCAAAAGAATAACGGGGCTAATTAGCCACTGTAGCGGCTATCGAATTGTTTCAGTTATATCTTTTAACCTTTAAAATTATAGCTATGAAGGTTCAATTTGTAGAACATTAACTCTTCCCTTTTGCTTTTGCTTGAAATTAAAAAGATAAAAAAGTATGAATAAATGACTGCACTGTTGAATTTTGTGAAGTCCAAAACTAAGGCTAAAGTGTTTTTTTTTTTTTTTTAAATCAGGATTGTTTGGGTCCTGATGTAGGATTAGTTCTAGAGCAGTGTTTTTCAAACTTGACAACTTTGACGAGTGGACTTTGACTCCCAGAATTCTCCAGGCAGACTTGCTGGCTAGGGAATTCTGGGAATTGAAGTCCACGCATCTTAAAGTTGCCAAGTTTGAAAAACACTGCTCTAAAACCTTGTTGGAACAGACAGTACATACTGATAGTCCTCGACCTACAACCACAGTTGGGAACCGAAGTAGTGGTTAAGTGAGTTGTGAATTTAATTTAATTAATCATATTTCTATGCCGCCCAACTCCCAAGGGACTCTGGGTGAAGTGAATCACGTGATCGTTAAGCCAGTGCAGTGTCTCCCATTGGAAGCTGGCTAGTGATCACATGACCCGAGGGTGTTTTTAAATACATATTAGTTGCCAAGCAGCCAAATTTTGATCACTGTGACAGTGGGGATGTGACAATTTTAAGTGGGAGGACCGATTGTTAAGTCACTTCTTTCAGTGACATTCTTACTTCAAATGGTCACTAAACAAAT